ACCGAAGCGCACTACTGTCGGAACTACCTGTACTACCTCTCTCTCTCTCACACACTACCTCTCTCGGTTGCCTAGGTAACTACATATCACTCCGCCGCTGCTGTAGACTGTGCTAATAATTTATTTATTGAATGTAGTTATTGAATCATTCACTTGATTTGTACAAAAACACTGACCTGGTGCCACAGTTCTGTTGCAGCTTCGTTTAGCGGAGCAAAAACAGGTGAAGGACTGTAACTAACAATTGTGTGTCTAAATGTAAGTTACAGAATATTAACCTATGAACTGTTGAATAAAAGCATCATCACACAATCACGCTGCCTTCTTGTTACTCCAATGACCCAAGGTGTCATTGCTAATTCTAACTAGATGCTTTCGAATTAGCATCTTTTTAACACAACACACAAGAGATTTTTTTTTACACTCCTTTGTTATTCCTTGTTTATTTACATACTTGCAGGAGTGTTATTATGGCCATATATCAGCTGTGCCTTGGCTCATGTGATATTGCTTTAAAAAGACTTATCTAACTAGGAATAGCCAGTTTTTGAGCATTAAAGCATTAAAACTTATACTAGTAGACCCCCAAAACGAAATCAAGACTTTGTAAAAGAGCATAGGCCCTCTTTAATTGTAAATGCATGGAAGAAGTGTTCAGGTAAAATAATAGTAGAGGCGAAATGAGTATTTCCATGCCTTAGTTGGTTTAAATAAAAAGGAAGCTTGGAAAAAGGTAAATGTTTAAGCTGGACAGGGATCTCAAAGGCAGGGGACAGAGCCATCTGGTGTGACTCAGGCACACAAAGTCATACAGTGTTCCAGTCAGACTTCTGATCTCAGTGCCAATTATGAGACATTGTTATGGCACTGTTTGAAGACTGTGATTCACTGTCATTATCTGACTAACCTAAACAAGCTTGAAGAAATCTGCTACAAGGATAGGCAGATATTACTAACAAACTACTGTATATGCAGCGATTGCAAGTGACCCAATATAAGTGTAATGTATCTCAACCATATTAGTCTGATTCTTTTTATTCTATTTCTATTATAAAATCAAACAAAATATGATAATTGAGCAGTGATTGTATGCAAATAATATAAGATCCCTTTGGCAAAAAGTGTAATTAAATTATTCTCCAAAGCCTCGGGCCTGCGTTTAAATGTTCAAAAATGTGAGCTCCTTTATTCATGGCATTAAGAAAAGGTTTGTTATTTAAGAGTTTATATAGTGAAGGACCAAAAAGAGAGATGAAATTTTTAATTTTCAACCCCTTACGGGCAAAATTCAGAAGAGATTTAACCAGTGGCTACAACAAGATCTCTCCTTACAAAGGCTGAAGGCCTCTCAAGGCTTATTTATGCAGCTCAATCTGTTCATTTAGAGTCAAAGCCTGGTAAAATTATTGAGGTAGGGTGTGGGATTTGCAAAACGGCCGGCGGATTTTGAAAATGCACAACAAGGTCATACCTTCTTTCCTCCTCCATTGGCCCTGAACCCATTCTATGAGCATGGACACGCCATCATGAATCTGCAAAACTCAGATGCTCTCTCTCTCTGTACCGGGGCGACTTGCACTTACTGTGACTGGGTCATGAGCTTTGAGTTTGGGCATGAAGGGGAAACGCACACGAGGGGGATGGGGGGAGGGGGGATGGTACGGCCGTTTGATTGACGCATTTTCTCTCCAATGATTCTAGGTGGTCTTGGAAATGATTGGCTGGAGTTTTTTCGAATCCTGCCTGTTTCATAGATTAAATAGCTTTATTTCTAACTAATAGCTGAGTTTCTAACTCAGTGGCTGTAAGTGGAATAGGATTTCAAGTGATTTTGAAAAAATGGTCAAAAAAGAAAATCACATACCCCAGCTTATTTTTTTTATTTTTTTTTTTACTTTAATAATTGGTTGAAACTGTCATGATTCTGCCATCATGTCTTAGATTTTTCCTGGTCTTGTGGCAGGATCGTGACAGACCCATGTTTTGTGTACAAGCGCATGGCCTGTGTGGCCATGTGCTTGTGTTGTCTCGTTACATAACCCCGCCCTCTTGTTATCCTCGTCTTGTCATTATTGTCTAGTCAGTGTCACCTGTCCTCGTCATTAGTGTTCCCTATTTATTCCCCTTGTGTTTGCTGTCCTGTGTCGGTTCATTGTGAAACCTACCGTGAGTTCAGTGTTTGACTTTATCATACTTTGTGTTTGTATCAAGCTGTGAGTAACTAGTTGAGAGTCTTGTCAAGAAGAGTTTGTTTCTATTGTTAGTTCATAGTCTTAGTCTAGTGTGTTATACCCTGTCCTGTTTTGCCCCATCGTGGGTTTTGCTTTCTGTTTTGTCCTTTAATAAACCCCTTTGAGAATCATTTGCTGTCTGCTAGTGGGTTCATCAGCCATCCACATAACAGAAACAGTTTAGAAAGAACCTAGTGTCTTTATGGAACTTTATTCCTAATTATGTTTTGTTTTTGTTTTTTCTCAGTTTGGTGGTCTGGATTTTCTTCTGTTATCTAACTATAAAATCAAAAAATTACCTGCAATATTATCTGCTTTTCATAGCCAGCCTCTTTTAACTGGGTCTTTGATATATAAGCACAACTTTTCATCATAAATATTTTATTTGTAATAACTGTAATATTTTATTCAAGGACAAATCTATATTTTTTTCAGACTTGGTTTGATAAAAAAATATCTCTGTCAATTAATCAAATCTCAAGGGTTGTTTTCATATAAGGAATTTCTAGATCATTTTCGTCTTCCTGTTTCTCCCAAAGAATTTTCAATAAAGGTTCAATCCCATCAGGTGCTCTTGCTTTATTGAGAGGAACTCAATCTCTACTTCCAGTCTCTCTGAGTTTTGGTCAATACTCCTGTTGGCAAATTGTGCTTTGCTTCTCCCTATGAAACAATAATGAATCAGTCCGTTCAGTATTTCAGCAAGACATTGTTACTTTGCCGCCTGTGACTGCTTACTTTAATAGTCCGGTTGGTAATATCTGTTTTGCTTCTACATCCTTTTTTTTTTCTAAAGTAAAGAGATTTATTTAAAATAATTCATAAATGCTACCCTGCAAATCACCGACTGAAAAGTCCAAAAAGGATATTTGCTCCTGTTGCTCTTGCTGTGACAATTCTGGCGAAACTATAGTTCATCTTTTTTGGTATTGTCCATTTACAAAAATGTTTTGGCAAGATGTTTTAGGATTTATTAGGTCTGAAATCTGTAATGAATGTGTGTTGTATTGGAAGGATGTGGTCCTAGGCTTTGTTGATTATGATCAATCTAAAAAAAGGTAATTCTTATGTAATAATTGTTAAGTTAAGTAACATACGATCGTCTTACTAGCGAAATTCCATAATCATAAATCGAAATATCAAAATGAGTTTTTCATCTCTCTTTCTGTAAAAGACCTTGAAAAATACCTCTTTTCAATCATGACCATAATGGGACCATGTTTTCCATCATACCTCAAATTAAGTTAGCTATAAATTAAACTAGCTAAATTAACTAACTTGTCAGATTTATAATATCCTAGATTGCTCAAAGTTATGTAAGGTTTAGGAAAAGTTTAAATACCTAGCTGAAACTTCTAAAATGTTAACTCGCTAAATGAACGACTAAAATTAGCTATCCTGATTGACATCTAGGCCCAGTTTTTCGAATTTAAAAATTATATAAATGCTTGCATTATTCTGAAATTTTATTTGCAACATTTTCATCAATCGACCTTCCTCAGACTTACAGCACACATGAATTAAATATAACATTTATACATTTTTTCGAATTTATATTGGACTTTCCAGGCACCATATTTACAGTTTGGGCACAGCTGTTCAATATATATATATATATATATATATATATATGATCAGATTTCGGTTATCGAGTTGGAAAAAGTCTTGAAAATTGGTGGTATAAAACAACAAAACAAAACAAAAAAACTCTCTGAAATTGGATCATGTAAGTCTTGTTTTTGATCTAAATCAAACCATCAGTATGTGTAAGGGATCGTCTGATCCTGGATAGCAAAACATGGGATATTCAAATCCAGATCATTTTGATCCAGATTCAACTTTTTGAACAACTGGGCCCAAAAAATGTAACATATAGGGTATTTGCTCATGTGCAAATCAGTTATAAAATGGTTCTTGGCAGGTGGTCCATTTACTTTAATTTAACACCCAATGCGATTTTCAATATGTTGTCAGATTACAGTTACTGGCCTTAATTAGAAGCTTCTTTCTTAAATGTGGAATACATTTACAAAATTTACAAAAAAAAAAAAAAAAAACATTTACATGGGTCTGCTTGCCATTGTGCAACAGTAAAGAGCCTAAAATACAATAAATACCCATTATAATCAGCAAAGCTTTCTACACTCAGTTGTGTTGATTATAATGGGTATCATTATCCTATTTCTCTGAGCAATCCAGTGCTGTTTCATCGAGCTGCTGTCTTGCAGTATAGATGGTTCAGACTACCAAGCACTAAAGAACTTTCCACCAATGTAAGAGTGACAAGCAATTTCTCGAAACATGAGGACAGATGCTATCACGTGCAAACAAACAAGAATGAGTTTGGTGTCAGTCAGTGTACAAATATTGAACACCATATGTTATATACACCAATATACACCAAACACCATATACACCAAAATGTTATTTTTATTATTAAAAATATTTTTTAAATATTTTTTATTTTGAGTTTGTTTTTTGTATTTTAGGAAACGAATCTGAACAAACCTACTATGTACAATGAAACTATGTGCTATTTTGTATTTTTGAATTGTCAATGTGAAATACAGTATCATATTTTAGAACTGTTCTTGTGAGAATTTGATGTTTATTTGGTTTTTATTGTCCTGCAGTTTCATGTTATTTAACACAAGAAATGAATATCAAAACTGTGACAGTAGTGACTTTTAATTTGTAAATTGGCCCAGTGGAGGGTTTGATGAAGAATTATGCTAATGATTTTTTTTCTTCTTCTTCTTCTGGCTACAGTTCACAGAAGAAGTCCATTTGTATGCCGGCGGAGAGTCCCAGGACACAGGAGAACCTTCTGATCTGTAGCTGTCGGCTGAGAACATGAGGAAGAGCCGGAGTGTTTTGGCAGTGACACCTATTGATGTGAGACATTTTACTGTTTACTTAACATGAATAGAAGATAATTCTACGCAGTGATTTTTCTGTCTTCTTCACTCCAACACACACAGAGGCCAATGCTATTTAGACGTTTAGCAAAATCACTTGTTGGTTTTTGACCTTTGTTAACTTATACACCTACAGTATGTTACATGAAGAGATACAGCCAGGTTTTCTGTGCAATAACATGTTGTGCTCTTCGATTTCAAGAGAAAGAACTAAAGCAATCAACAAGCTCTAGGCAGGCGTGACTACAAGGACATAAACAACCAATTAAGTACACACACACAAACCCACACGTATTATTAATAGCTATTTATGAGGGACATGGAAAAAGATGGCAGGCACCATAAAACCTTAACAGAGAAAGAACAGAACAGAGATGAAAAAAAAAGCAGTCAATCATTTGTGTTATTTATGTTTTTAATTACCTGAACTGTGTTGGTTAGGCGTTTTTCAGTCTTTTAATTCTAATGTACATAAATCATTTTATTTAGACTGTGTCTAAAGGAGAAATTTTTCCTCCCCTTAGTATTTCATCTACATATAGGGTTAGGCTAAGTCATCATTGAGACAAAGAAACTACATTCACTACCCATTTTACTTCCAAAATATCAGCAGAACTTTTTTCTTTTGTCCTTCAGGAATTGATTAAATTAGGAAAATTGCTCCCAGTAACATTACTAGAATGTTTGCTCACTTAAAACATTAGCACAAATTTATATATCGTGCATGGAATGTTTTTTTAAAGTCCCACTGTAGTCAATAATTTTATCCCATAAAACTCATCTTTGATGTCAACAAATTGACATATTAAAGTGGTTGTTCCCTGAAAATTTGTATTCATGCCTTAAAATAGCTTGATTATAATTCTACACCCTTGCCTCATTTAGTATACGCGGTTCAAAGGAATATGCAAATTAGCCCCGCCTCCACTCACTCACACCAGCTTAGAGATCCACTCATTGACGTGATTGATTACAAGGTATGTGACGTCAGAAACAGTGTTTTTGAGACTGCCTTTTTTCACTGCATACAGAATGCAGAATTTGCACATTGTTTTTCTTAAATCATATTAAAAACACCATTTGAGCATATAAACCACTTGACTTTCACCACGGGGGGACTTTAAATGTTGTAGTTGAATGTTCATCTACATTTTTCAGCAAATAGTTTCAGAATGTTTTAGAGAACATTCATAAGTAATGTTCCCATAATGTTTGTAAAATGATTAAATGGAATTAGCAAAACGTTTTAAAGAACATTTGTTAGCTGGGTCTGACAGTTATTCAGGTTGGAGTGGAGGACTTGAGTGATTTTGGTAGATTGCGAAGACAATTTTTTTTTGTTTTTTTTTTTTGGAAAAAAATGTGCACTAATAAATGGTTCCCAATACATTATTCGAGTAAATTTGGTGATTTGGTGAAAAAAAAAAAGCGATTTCATGTTGACTTTATTAAGCAGAGGCAACTGTATTGATTTCTCAGAATGTTAGAACTGTCACTCGTGATGCTTTCAAGACATTGCTCTGTTTATTTAAATAACCCAGAGCTTCTGGCTCAACTCATGGCATGTCTTTGAAACGGAACAACCGGTTTGTCTAAAAAATGATGGATGTGACTGATTCTCCGTCTGGTGTAGCATTAGTCACACAGAAGTTATATACATGACCTTTAAAAAAAGTTGTACTCAGTATTTTCTTAATTTATTTATTGCTAGCCAATATTTTGTCTTTGAAAAAAGAAAAAGCAGTTACATTGTTCATTTGAGGTAGCTTTCAGCAACGCCTTTTGGAGATGGAGAATTCATGAACATCCACAAAGTTCTGGATTAGGTTACTGTATATAGACTCTAGAGGAACAGTACCTTCACTTGTTTGCAAGTATGTGCACATAAAAGGAAGTAATGAGGCTGATATCGATTGTCAGGAAAGGCTATTCTCACCTTTTTTCGCTTTCACTCAATGAAAGCTTGACCCTTACCTCTCTTGCCTATGATTAACATCCACATGTGCACAGTCTATGGCAGAAACCCTATAACCCTCTTAATTGAAATTCTTGTCTAGAACAAGTGGATCTGATTAGAGTGGAGGCTGAGTTTGAGCTTTTTTTTTGCCACTCAGATGTAGAAAGACTGCAAACATTCTTTTTTAAATATGCACACTATTCATACAGCATTTATAGGACCTTATACAATCGTTCCAGGGCAACCATGAGGCATCAGTACAATAAGGTAAAAAGCCAATTTGGGATTATATTGATCATATTGGAGTTTAGAGTATAAGTCAAGTCTACTCACTTTTATTTATATGCTGTAGTGCTTTATACAATAGAATTGTTTCAAAGCAGCTTCACAGAAATAAACAGGAAAACAACAGTGTTAATGTTGCAAAATTCATCTTGAAACAAATTCCATTTCAGCTTTACCGAAGACATTATTCAGCTCATTTTAGTTCAGTTTTGATTCAGTTCAGTTCAATAAAAGTGCAAAGTTTATCAGTTATGAAATTCTTAACATTAAAAGTATATCACTTAATGAAATAAGTTATAAATTGAGGTATATTCAGGTAATATTCATTCCGTAAAATCTGAAACATTGTCAACCAGTTTTTTTTTTTACTGTAAATTGAACAGGAAATGTTTACAGCGTACAATAAACAGGGATCTAAATATTCTTTCACCGTATTATTTTTTAACTGCAACAGTGGACATTTTCGCAGCTGGACAAACAGGTCGCATGTCTGCCGCGAGCTGTATTTGTCCAATCAATGTTATTGACGTTGTAAATATGCAAAAATAGAACAGAAGTCCAATGTATGATGAGAAATCATTTTAACTGTGTCAAGCCAAAGCGATTCTCATATAACTACATATAGCTCAGATTCCCTTTTTTTGATTGAAATGATGAACCACTAATAATAATGATAATAATAATGAGCTACTTATAAAATGTATTTTTCAAAGAGCACACAATTTTGTGTCAATTTCTCACTTGACACATATTGAACCATTAGTAGTCTGGTTTTACAGTTCTGTGAATGTGAGGCAGAAGGGAGTGCGCTGTGACTCTCACATGACCGCAGGAAGAGTACATGCTGTCCATCTGTTTATCTAAGCTACAGGAAAGAGTCTGTTCTGTCAGATGCTCATGATCTCTATAATAGATTGTTGACTTGTGCATTAAGTGTTTCCCCAAACTGCGGGGCATTAAGTAACACTATTATTCCACACTTAATGGTCAATCAACTTGAAGTGGATTTTGCGAAGCTCAACGGAAGCCAAGCATTGGTTCCCTCCAGCTGTATCCAAACCCAAGACTCTATCCTCCCCTCTTGAAACACTAGCTGTGCGTGTTTACTGACAACCCTTGTTGCTTAACCTTCAATCAAACTCATTATTGAAGGAGTCAGAGTGGTTGCCAAGGTAACTGATCCTCCCAGCAATCGGCCGGTCTCTGGACATAGTGTTCATGTATATCTCTATTTTTCTTTTATGTATTTGTTTACTTCAATGTATTTGTAGATCAATGCCTATGGGCAGTGTTACCCTTCACCATGTTCCTATTAATCTAACCAATGAAAATTTCTCATCCTGATTGTTGTTCTCATTCATTCCAGAGCATATAAGCCATCAGGGATTTAATGCTGTCTGAACTGAGGCGGCTTCACTTGTATTCCATTGGCTCCACTTTTTGTAACATCTGTAATGCGTGACATGATTATTAGATGATACTTCATAACTCCTCATGGGAGTCCCCTTTGCTTTCCATTAATTTCCTCTTCATTAATTTGCCCCTCTCATTTATATGAAGTAATTTTTTTCCATGACCTTCCAATGTTTGTGTATTTTTTTAAATGCTTAAAATTGCAGTCGGGATTGGGGTTAAAAATTATCCAAAATAAATTTGAGCAATTACATAACTAGCCTGTGTTCAAAACTATCTGCTTGCCTTAGCTCGATTCAAAGCGGTAAGCTTGTAAAAATGGTTTTAATTCCAGTGGTACTGGTGGATTTCCACGGGAGATTCAAGCATGTCTTTGCGTTATTACGTCACATCCTTACACATAAAGAATGAGTCTCGGCTTGTAGGCTATATTGCGAGTGAGGATGCTGGAGGTGGAGATTTATAGCCTTTTCTCAAAGCACTTGATATAATTAAACATATCAATTTGATGGCAGATCCAGGAAGGTTCAAACGACATTCACCAGTGACAATAGATTCACCCGCACATTCCCCTCAAAATATTGGATTCATCCACGCTGTAAAGTGCCGAGCCGAGGCACAATCCACATAAAGTTGATAATTCTGCGATTAACTGCAATTGCAGATTTCAAACAGAGATGGCAACAAAGAGGAAAAACTACGAACTGAAGCTTTAAGTTTATAGTATAACATTCCTCAAGATAATATATAAATGTATATATATATATTCTATTTTAAGACTATCATTTGGCTCTGTGGCATTATTTAGATGACAGTTCATGTAAATCATTACCATATTCTTATTGATAATTTACATTACTGTAATATTGTAACAGGTAGTATGCTCAGACAAGAGAAGCACATATGCAGTTTAACAGTTTATTGATGCAGCAGAGGAGCATAAACAAACAGGTGAGTATACAGTATGGTAATAGGCAGGTTGTAATAATAAACTGAATTAATTAATCAGCCCTTTATCTTTGCATGAATAGTGAGAGATTGTGATGACTTAATCCTGGAACGTACACGCCTCAGTTGCTGCAGGTAAGTAAAGTCGAGGTGAGTAGGCGAGTAAATGGTGATAAGGAAGCGTGACGATGGGGACAGACGAAGTAGCAGAGATCCTCAGAAGAGACATAGGGGATCACGAGGAACAATGGAGATCAGACTCGCTGGATGTAGGTATCACAGGTAAATATTTCTTTGGTAGAAATTCCTTAGTCTGTATTGAAACCAGGCAATTAATGTACTGGAGGTGTGTGATGAAATACAGTGGCTGATGAGGTGTAGATAGGAAACAGATGCAGGTATTCGGGAGATAAAAGTGTTGGAGTGAAGATGGAGCTTGGTGAATCCGTGACAACTATTCTCTTTTTCATTTAAAATTCTTAATTCATGAATAATATGTAAGGATAATTCAATTTGATGGAAATTGACTATATAATTGAAATTCGTGAATCTTAAAAAGTGCAAATCAAACAAATTATATATAAATACTTAACAATTTCAGTAACATAATTTTTTCACATGGCAGTCTTTGGAATTTGATATATTTATTCATTTATTTTTTTCCAGTCAGAAAAAAAAAGTGTACAGAAGAATGATTGTATGCTCTGGAAAATGTGTTTGCATAGTGAAATTGTCAGTAACAATGCTTTTGTACAAAAAATAGTCAATACTAGGGATATGTACAAATGTGTTTTCACCATGGTCAGCAGCTGTGCATTGTTATGCAACATCAGCAGGTGAACGAATGAAGTTACATAAAAAGATTTAGTTTCTCTGCACATTACATTTGCTGTCATGCCTGTGCTCCAACACTGTTTAAATACCAGCCAGTTGGGACTGTTGTTAGTCAAAAGATGATAAACTGTTCAGTAAAATCAAGAATGATAGTTGTCAAACATTAGTAATGCAACATGTACATGCAAATATTAATATCTGTCACAGTTGTTGTGATAATCAAACAGGAACAAAGAAGAATACTAGTAAACAGAAAGGAAATAGAAGAAACACAAACACAATAATGAAATGACAACTAATCTTAAAGGGATACTCCACTTTTTTTAAAAATAGGCTCATTTTACCACTCCCCCAGAGTTAACCGGTTGAGTTTTACCGTTTTCGGATCCATTCAGCCAATTTTCTGATATTTAGAAGAATATCAGTAACCAGACAGTTTCTGGTCTCATTGACTTCCATAGTATATATTTTTTTCCTACTATGGAAGTCAATGAGACCAGAAACTGTCTGGTTACTGATATTCTTGTAAATATCAGAAAATCGGCTAAATGGATTCGAAAACGGTAAAACTCAACTGTTTAACTCTGGGGGAGTTGTAAAATGAGCCTATTTCTAAAAAAAGTATCCCTTCCTAAAGTATCCCTTTAACATAACCCTGACATTACCCCCCACCAAGTGGTCATCCTCGCACTGTAAACAATAGTCCACCTGTGGGTGGCAGGTGGGGGTCTTGGAGGTGAACAAGAAGCTGGTGATGGACAGGGAGCTCGAGGAGCCAGTAGAGGGAGCCAACGGAAGGAGGACCTGGGGACCGACTGACGGAAGCAGAGCCGGAAGAGGAGACCCAGGCGGAGGCAAAAGGATGACTATCCTGGGTGACACAGCAGGACTGGGAATCCAAGGCAAAGCCGCTGGCTTGCGGGACCGAGGTAGAAACAGGGTCCTGAAAGACCACGGTGAAACCAGTGGGAGCAAGGACAAATGAGAGGGCGGAGGGAAGGAGGAGCCCGGTGGAGTTGAAGGGGTGGAGAGCTGGGGCGGAGCCAGAGGCCCGTAAGTCTGCGGCGGATCCAGGGTGGCGAAGGACCAAGGTGGAGCCCAAGGGATGACAGTGGAGCCAAGGGAGAGTAGAGCAAAGGTGGAGCCGACAAGCTGACAGGCCAAGGTGACGTCATGGGCCTGGAGGGAATCCACTTCACAAGGTTGAGCTGGTGGTGGAAAAGAAGCCAAGGCAGAGCTGGAGGAAGCCAGCGGCGAGAGCAGAGCAGAGGAGCTGAGTGGTACCAGCGAAGTCGAGCAGAGTCCAGGCAAGTGCATGGAGCCAGTGGAGAGAATGGGAACAATCAGGTGGGAAGGATACCGGGCGGGAACATCTGAGACAAACTGAGGAGGACAGAGTTAAGGGTTAGGGACTGGCTCTGTGGTCCACAAATCAATAAGCCAGCGCTACTCTTCTGGCTCTGAGGTGGACTACTCTGTCAGCACTGGCTCCAAGACAAGCCTGGCGGCAAGTTCTAGCCTCTAGATGGCTCAGACATAATGGCTGGCTCTGGCTTTGTGGATGGAGGGGGCTCTAGCGCAGGGTCCCTGGTGGGCTCAGTCTCTGGTTTCGTGGCCGTGTCTGTTGTCTGGTCTGTGGCGGAAGTTTATTCTACCAAAGTGGGACACTCCGGGCTGAGATGGTGAGTTATCCTGTATGGAGCGGGCAGAGAGATGGCTGCTGGAGGTGGCACTGGTTCTGGGGAGTCAGAGCTGATGTTGTCTTCCTTGACGACTCCCAATGTCAAGGAGGATCCACACCCCCACAAGGTGTTACCGATAAAATCAATCAGGGGCCTATGACCCCCTGTTCTTCAACAGCAGTACTTGGCCTAAAATGTCTTCCATCCCACTCCAGAATATGTATTTTAGGGCCTCATCATCTCAGCGAGCCTCATGATACAGCTCAAGAAACTTCTCCAGATACTCCTCCAGTGTATATGTGTTCATGTTGGTCTTATTTCTGTTTACTTGTCTTTGTTTGGATCGCCTCTTTTGTCATAGTTGCTGTGGTAATCAAACATGCACAAAGAATAACACTCTTTCTATAATCTTAAATAAACAAATCAAATACGCAGGAGGTCGTTGGAGAATAAATAAGCAGGAATAATAAATAAGCAAAACCATACGCAAAACAATGATGGCAACTGACCAGAAGTAACAGAAACACAGAGCTATATATACAGGGGGAAACAAAGGCAACTAAACTAGACACGAGTGAGACTAATTAATTACTAAGGCAAGGTTTATCTAAACTGAAAGGAAACACAAGAAACAGAAACACTAGAATCAGATGACAACCAAACTTACAGTAACATAACCCTGACAAAATAGAGATGTCAAATGACAACATTACTGTATATTCAGTTAGTCCCTATTTATTGTTGTATAAAAACATTAAAATGCATATGACCATACTATAGCATTGCTCTAGGATTCGTGAGATCCACCCAATTCCTACAATTACATACAGCTCTCCATCAACGTGTTTTATAGATTCCCCAGAGTCATAGCCTTAAAGTCATGTTGATACTCAAGCAGTCAAACAGAAGCAGTAGCTGTTTTCTATCTCTCTCTCAATTTCTGGATTCTCATCAGTTATCCCTGTTGTATGGTCCCAGTCTACAGGCTGTGCTCGAGGAATTCCTGGTAACACTCCTCTCTTTCGGGCAATTCTAATTGAACTATAAACATATTTTGTGGTGATATATTCAGTCTCCTGCTATAGGCTGTTAAAAGAGGATGTTGTCCAGAGGCTACACTGACAGTGATATGCAATCACTGTGAGGGAGCCAGACATTAAACACGCTGTATCTATAAAGAACTGTCAGGAGATAGAGTCAACATGCTGGAGTAGTAGAAACAAAAAAGGGCTCTATATATCAGTCATGTAGCGCAATTGAGAGGCTCACTCTCTAGAGTACCGCAGATCACCCAACCTAACCTAAACCCAACCTAAACAAACCAAGAAAAGAACATCATTAATGTGTCAAGCTGACTAACAAAGTAAAATTCAAGTTCCCATAATGATGTGTTTAAAAAACTTGTGTGATTGTAAAAATAAGCATATAGTCGTTGCAAATATTCTTTCATTTGTTCGTTTATGTATTAGTTAGTTCGTTGATTATATAGATGATCCTACTGTATAGGTGTTTCTTAAACAGTGGATACATTTCTGCTCTATTCTTATTATGTTAGGACAGCAAGGACCTCTCAGGATCTACATTTTCTGGCGCTACATTGGGCGTGGATCTCTGGCGAGGCCCCCGACGGCACTCAGGAACCCTTGTGTTGCCGCCGCTGTCATGGAGACAGACAGAGAGGCCCCGCAGTCCTCAAGAATATCACGTTTCCAGACCCACGTCACTGGGCTTCATTACCCCACCACGTATAGATATCACACCAGTTCCCCCTGATAGGTAAGCTCAATTTTGAATGCAACGGCACATAAATATTTCAAGATGACACAAAGTTGAACTTTTAAGTGCTTTGTATATTAATTTGCATTTTATTGTGCTTTGCAATATGCAAAATACCACTACTAATTCTACTACTTATAACAATATACAATCCACTAAGGACTGATGAATATTAATCACGTTGTCAGTGTTCGTTTGAACTGATTTGCTGAAATCAAAATGGGACGGTAATTGATGAACGCCAGCCAATGAGATTGCGCATTAGTTCCGCCCACTACCAGAGAAACTGGCATTTCTTTTTTTTTATTTAATAATGTTAATTATTCTAAACCTTTGACTGGTAGTGTGTGTGTATATATATATATATATATATATATATATATATATATATATAATAAGGCTGCTCACTGTAGCCCATCATAGCTGAAGTCGTATTGCTTTGAGAACATGCCAAGGAGTTCAGTTCACACAACAATAAAATGAATGACAGATTATATTTTTGTGGAATATACATAATATATGTTATCAATTAACCTTTAAGTAATCCTGTAAAAATAAACTTAAGTTCAGTTCACGTAGACCCCATTCACACCTGGTTTTACCATCTGTTTTGGGTGATACGATAAAAAATTGTCAGCTGTGAAACATTTCTGTTTAAAGTTGGTATTAACATTAACAAATGTATCACCGAACTCCGCCTCTCCATCCACACCTGTCTGTCTGGATCAAGTTCATACTCCATCTAAATTGGGCCAAGTAGGCTACACATGTAGAAGTTCCAAGAATGTTCCAGAAAGGCGACTCTTGGGAGGGGAGGGCGTTCTGGGCAGAGGACTGACAAGTAGGCAAGAGGGGAGGATAAAGGAAAAAGCGTTGGATTGAAGCAGATTGTGACAGAGACTGAATGTAAACACAGTCTGGCCTACATAGCACCTCAACACAAACTTCTACAACCAAACCACTGGATTTAAGGCTTAGCGCTTCCACAAATCTCAGTGTATGACATTTCCTCATGGATCTAAAACAAGATTCTGACATTAGCCCTGTCAGTCAGAGGATGCAGATCAGTTTGGACACAGGCTGTCAGTCTGATGTGAAAGAGCACACAGCTGGTGCAAGAGACTCACCCCAGATCTCCTCAGGCATGTTCAGAAAGCTGGTGGTGAATAAAACTGTCCGCCAACGCAGACGCTTCACAGTGGCTGTGTCTCATACCTGGTAAGCAGCTTTGTCTTGCTGTATCCTTGCTTTAATTGAGTCTTACTGTGATCTTTTCTTGAAATCAAAAGCACTTCTTTAATATATTTGCCACCAGGATGGATTATGATTTCTCTCTTTAATCTGAAATTGAATTTGTATCAAATTTAATTGTATTTGTACCTTTGGACATGAATGAAGCCTCAAATTGTGTGGTTTATTGATGTGCCGCTATTACTTTTCTATGGAATTGGATTTTCACCCGGTGAGCTTTAAAATGGGTTAAAACAAATCTATCGACCGTCACTGAGGGAGGTATCCAAGCCATTTCTAAGGATCGGAATAGTGAAACAGTGACCGCCTGATTATTCTGAAACTGTGGTTTCAGAAGTATTTCTCTGTAGACATTGTTTAGAGAGATCTAAGCAATAAAACCAAACCAACAAGCTCAGAAGGGAATCACATCATTTCATCTGAATCAAAGTCAATACATCATTAGCTATGATCTGAAGCAAAAAAAGTATATGATATAGTATATGAAAACTCTCATCCCATGAAGAATAGCAAATAATGTGATCAAATCTATAACAATGGTTTCATTTTAAAAAACCTTTGATGTAGCACAGTTAAAGCTCAGGAAAGGAGGAGGCGGGAACCAGCGAACATTCAATGAAACTTTAATCTCATAAAATACAAACAAACAAAGAAAGTAAAGTGGCAGCCCCTCATGGATGGCTGCTGCATATAATAAAGCACAACATATATAGTCCAGGCCTGGTCTTCTCTCATCCTTCATCCTTCCACTCCTGGTCCTCTCTTGTCCTTTTATCCTTCCAAAGCTCCTCCATGAGAAACTCGCTTCATTCCCACGGCTCTTGACCTCACCCTGCTTGACCCAATTGACTTAAAGACAATAATTAAGAAGTCTGGGAAGATATAAATTAAGTTTAATAAATAAATAAAATTAAGTTAATTGCTATATTTACATGAATACTGGGTATGTTGTATGCATGTATGTGTGTATACTGCTGTTCAAAAGTTTGAGGTCAGTAAGATTTTTTAAAAATAAATTAATTATTTTATTAAGCAAGGATGCATTAAATTGATCAAATGAAAGTGTCACAATTATGTTCTTTCTAGTCTGTACCTCTTCTCGTGAGTCCCTGATTAGTTTACCTTTCTCCACTTGTGTCTAGTTAGTCCCCTTTCATAGTCACTCCGAGTTACGTCGGATGACGGAGAAGGGGGGTTTCGCGTAGAAAGCCAATCCTCTTCGAGTATTAAAAAACGAGCCAATGGCATGAAAATGCCATGGGTCTGCGGAATTTGCATAGCGTATCTCCACCCCTCCTCGTGAGTATAAAAGGAGGAAGCGGACGCAACCGCAGTATGTTTTCGTTTCGGAGCCAAGAGAACCTCTTCACTCCACAAGCCATTGATACTGAGTTCAACTCTTCGAGACAAGCGTCCTCTCCAGTGTTGGTGTGATGGCGGTACCCAGCGAGATCCTGCATTGCCTGTGATCTGTGCAGTGGTCTGCCAAACTTTGCGCTTCTCCCTGGTCGCCTCAGCGCTGCAGAGTGAATTTGACAGGGGCAGGGTGATCTGACGGTGACGGTGTGGAACAAAAACCTGACGCTTGTTCCTCGGGCCACACCCCCCGCAGCAGTGTTGCAACCCTCGAGTGCTGCAGTGATTCAGACGAGCGTCTCTTCGGAGGTGCCGTCTGTTTCATTCGGTGCTCCAGAGGAGGACACGATGTCGATCGCGGCGTCAGAAGGTGGGCTAGACTCCTCGGGAAGTGAGGATGCGGCTGCATTGCCTATCTCGAGAGTGCCAGCGTTGCTCGTGTCTGTAACTGTTCCAGTAACTCCAACCTGCCGTCAGACCTTCTTCCCGTGGACGAACCTCAGCTTTTTACGGGCCGGTGTCCCTCTACAGCGATTTTACAGGCATGCTGTTGTCTCGACAGATGCCTCTGCCACGAGTTGGGGAGCTATGTGCAATGGACATGCAGCAGCGGGTTCCTGGACAGGACCCCAGCGCCTTATGCATATCAATTGCCTCGAGTTGCTGGCAGTACGCCTGGCCCTGCACCACTTTCGAGCACTGCTCAGGGGTCAACACGTACTTGTCCGTTCAGACAATCCCACAACAGTAGCGTACATCAACCGTCAGGGTGGTCTACGCTCACGTCGGATGTCGCAACTCGCACGCTACCTCCTATAATGGAGTCAGAAGCACCTGAGGTCCCTTTGTGCTATTTACATTCCAGGCAGCCGACGAGCTGTCACAGTTCTGTCCAGTCTCTGGCGAATGGCGACTCCATCCCCAGTCGGTCCAGCTGATATGGGACCAGTTCGGGGAGGCACAGTTAGATCTGTTCGCTTCCCACGACTCATCCCATTGCGCCCTGTTTTATTCTCTGGCACGCTTGGCACAGACATCTTGGCGCACAGCTGGCCGCGGGGTCAAGTATGCGTTTCCCCCAGTCAGTCTTCTCGCACAGACTCTGTGCAAGATCAAGGAGGCCAAGGAGCAGGTCTTGTTGGTCGCCCACCAAGACCTAGTTCTCCGAACTGATACTCCTCGTGACAGCACCTCCTTGGCCAATTCCTCTGAGGAAGGACCTCCTCTCTCAGAGATGGGGACCATGTAGCACCCTCGTCCCGATCTGTGGAGACTACACGTGTGGCTCCTGGATGGGACGAGGCAGGTTTGAGTTCCCTGCCACCTACGGTGGCGGCGACCATCACTTCCGCTAGAGTGTCGTCCACTAGACACGTCTATGCATTGAAGTGGAACCTCTTCGTCAACTGCGTCGTGCTTTCCTTCCTGCAAGAAGGGTTGGAGCGAAGGCTGTCTCCCTCCACCCTGAAAGTCTATGTGGCTGCTATTGCCGCATTTCATGAAGCAGTTGAAGGTAAGTCTTTGGGGAAGCACGACCTGATCATCAGGTTCCTGAGGGGAGCGAGGAGACTGAATCCTCCTCGCCCTCCTCTCGTACCCTCTTGGGACCGCTCAGTGGTTTGTGCCCTGCAGAGGCCTCCCTTTGAGCCTCTGCAATCAGTTGAGATTAAGTTCCTGTCAATGAAGACAGCGCTCCTGGTTGCACTGGCCTCCATCAAGAGGGTAGGGGACCTGCACGCATTCTCCGTTGACGAAGCATGCTTGGAGTTCAGGCCAGCTTACTCTCACGTGATCCTGAGACCCCGGCCCGGATATGTGCCCAAGGTTCCTACCACTCCCTTCCGGGACCAGGTGGTGAACCTGCAAGCGCTGCCCCTGGAGGAGGCAGACCCAGCCTTGGCACTGCTCTGTCCAGTACGCGCCCTCCGGGCTTACGTAGACAGAACGCGGTGTTTCAGGACCTCAGACCAGCTCTTTGTCTGTTATGGTGGGAGCCAGAAGGGAAGGGCTCTCTCAAAGCAGCGGCTGTCTCATTGGATAGTGGACACCATTGCTTTGGCTTGCCATCAGCAAGGTCGACCGTGCCCCCTTAGTGTGAAGGCTAACTCCACCCGGAGTGTGGCTTCCTCTTGGGCTCTAGCGCATGGCGCCTCGCTAGCAGACATCTACAGAGCTGCAGGCTGGGCGACACCCAACACATTCGTGAGATTCTATAACCTCAGAGTGGAGCCTGTGTTCTCTCTTGTACTCGCTCAACCGGCCAGTACTGGACTAGCTCAGGTGTCTTCACTTGCTCGCCATTCCTCTCCACGGACTGGATAAGTGCGATATTTCCTCAGCTGAGCCTTCTGTTGAAGCCCTGAGTCCTCCAGCACTGTTCATGCTGGAGCCAG